TAGCTGTTCTTAAGCCACACACAGATTCACATAGAGTCAAACTTTCTGTTTATTTGGCACTTCTGCAAAGTATTTCAGGTATCCACAATTCCCTGAATGTGTTATTTGATTTTTAGGGTCCTAGTCCCACAACTAATTCTGTCTGAATTGGCCACAGAATATGCAAATGCTGATCTATATCTGCTGAGAACCATATTCAGTGACATTCTCTGCTACATCAAACAGATCCTCAGCTCTCTTTCTCTTATCTGGACCTCAACTCCCTTCCTAAGCTATGATAATATGAGTTTTTTTACGCTTATCATCTTTACACTGGCTCACTAGTTTGCTGGGATTCCCAGTCCTCACACTTCTTCAAACTCTTCAGATCCTCTCTTTTTCCTTCTGTTGGAATTATCTGTACTTTTACATCCCATTGAGAGGTTATAAACCTTTACTGAAGTCTCTTCTTCTGCTCCCAAATTAGGGAAAATATCTTAAGTTGTTCCACATGAGGAGTCCAAGTCTAACCTTGGTGTAGAGAAGGAGAATGAGTCTGCAGCAGTTTGGCTGGCTTTTTTTTTTCTAAACCCATCAACATACAAATTGCTTCCTGTCACAATCGTCCCACAGACTTCTTGGGACTGTTCCACTTTTACAGGAGCAATGGATTGAGCTGTGCCAGGCAGTCAGAGCAAACTGCTGCTCCCGTGTTCACCAACAGGACCAAAAAGCTTTGATGCAAGAGGAGAGAACCACACTGACCAAAACACTGCTTTCCCCTTGAGAGAACAGCAGCACCTCCTCATTGCCCTTCCCCACTACGTACACCTGCTGTGCATAAAAACAGAGCTTCAAACACAGATCCTTTCCTGGCTTCTTCTTCATTTTCCACAATGTCTAACTTGGTGATAAATTTGCTTGCCAGCCAGGAGAGAACAGATCAATTAGTGAAAAATGTGGATTTTCAGACTTCAAAGATGCTCCTGGGTTTAAAGAAGTATTGATGTCTACATTTCTAAATTGAGCAGAATCTTTTTTCATTGGGAAATTTGAAATGGAACAGTGCTGCTGCCAGCTTTACTATTTTAAGGTACTCAGGAGTCAAAGTACTTAAGCAATCCCTAATTTTAAATCACAGTTACAAAAAATATTTACTGAAGTACTATGTTTCAGGGTTAATCTTCTGAAATTCACAGGCTTGGAGGTAAAGCTTGGGGTTCTTTTACAGTTCTATGTTATTTTCTCAGTTCTATTTGGATCCTTTTGATAGCTGGCCCAGGTAGCAACAGGACAACAGAAGCTGATAAATCAGAAATTGCAATCATTGCTCGAATAAGGAAATCTTTAGCAGCAGTGTGAATTTGAGCCAGAAGAATGGATTTTTTTTCTGTTTTTTCTTTTTTTTCACTACAGCAGCAGTGTGTATTCTTAGCAGTAAAACACCAGCCATGTTTCAAAAAGTCACCCTACCCTGCCACATTGCAATTATGTAAAAAGAGGTGTCTGTCAAACATGTTTAAACCCAAAATTGCATAGAGATTAAAAATAAAAGCCATCACTCAAGTGGTGGGAATTTCAAACATCCCTGGGGGTAAAATCTTTACAGAGCCATATAGAACAAATCTATAAACTCAGCTCCCATTCATATCTCTTCAGCATCAGTCAGCAAGCCCCAACTATGCCCTCCAGGTGGGCTAAAGAAATTGGTAAGTCTTGTGCAGAAGTAAATTATGTGTTTGTTGGGGGTTAGGTGTTTCAGATAATATTTGCTTTATATAAAAGAAGGGAGAGTAGAGCAAGATTTCTAACAAATTTCATGATACTAAGAAACAGGTTTTGTTTTGTTCCTGAATTATATCCTGGAAATCAGCCTTGAGGGCCTCCTTTCTTCTAAAAGAGACACCTGAGGTTAAATATCTACTTTTATCCCAGGAAAGGACCTAATTTCTCAAAAGAGACTGACAAATAATTGTTTCAATGGAGGAGAATCACAAATCCCTCACTCCAGTTTGTCCTCCTTCCTCCATCAGAGCAATCCAGCCTCTAGAGTTTGTTGGAAACTGGTCAGCCAATCTCAAAACTGTGGTGTAACCTGAGCCCAGGGGAAGTCTGGCCTTTCACAGCACAAAACACCAAAAATATTTTGGTCACTGTGCAACAGTGTTTTAGGAAAGCTGAGGAAGAGGAGGCAACATCCTGCCTGCATGCGGTCAGCCCCTGGCAGAGGGACTAAGTAGGCAACAGGAAACAACAAAGCCTTAAGCTGCCAAGGTGGAGCGTGACAAGTATTGTAAACCTGAGACTGTCCATGTTCCAAAAGGGAAGCTGAAGTTTCTTGATTTTCCCAGAGAGTTATTGATACACAAATTCTTCATTTGGGAACAGCCAGCAGCACCACCTTTTATTTTACAACATGTTTGGAAAGGGTGATGCTCCCAGGAGGTGGAGGTTGATTCTGTTTTCCCCTTTTAAAAACCACAAGTTGTTGACTTGGTGTAAATCCCCAGCCTTGGTGTTCTTTTTCATTGGTGATTTCCAGTGAGGTGACAGAGCCCCAGAAAACCCAACCCTGTGCTGAGTGCTCCCCTAGGCAGACCCATGTCCAATGTATCGACCTCTGGAGAACCAACATGTTCTCCGGTATCTCTTTTTGGAGCCCAGACAAGAATGTGGCCCTTTGTACCTTAGATATCATTTTGCTGATGAGATAAGAATATTTTTATTCTGTGCCTTGTTTATTTAAATGTCAAACCTTTAAATCAGAAGTCTCCCTCATTGTGTGCATAAATCTGGTGCAGCATCAAGGGAGATGGGAGCACAGGCAATCTGAAGACAGTAAAAATGTCAGTAAAACTACACATCCTGTGTACAAATGCATTTCTAATTGCTGTTGTTAGAATACAGTCTTCTGTGAACCTTTTCTCTATTGCTATGGACTAGCTATAATATAAAAATCTCTTGACTGTTTAAATGACGTGGCTAGGAAGAAGATTTCTCCCACTGAGAATGAAGACAATTTAGAATATGGAGCAGAATGAGATAAGATGAATATTCAGAAACTCACGGACTCAACTTTTTGCATGCAGATTAAATCATAAAAAAAATGCCACTGCCTGCAGTACCTACTCCTGGTCATAACTGCAGTATTTATAATGGGATATTAAGCTTTAGTTATGTTACTGTCTTAGGCTACATAAACCACCAGAAAAAGAGAGAATAAATAAGGTTCTTGCAGATTACTTAATTGTAGCAAACAGGAAGCTGCAGTAATCACAATTTTGCTTTGCAAGGAAATTCCATGGTTGAGAGGTGGTGGGATGGATTCGTGAAGGAAACGGGACTAGCATTAATTAGTCTGGCCCCAGTAGGCCATTAATCAGGATGGAGTAAAGCCTCAGTAAACTCACAGACCTCTCCTCAAACAGGTAGGTTACACAGTGGGAAATGCTCTTGCTCCACTGCAGTAAACTGCTGGTCACCCCCGGGGGATTTGGATCCTTTCAGAACTGGGAAGGATGGATACAGGTCATATTCTTCTTCAAAGGGACTAAAAGCTGCCAGAATTTGTGCTGCTCAGGGTGAGCTGCATCCCAGGAGAGGGAGAAGTGCACATGATCTGAGATGGATATGTGAACATATAAAGCTGATCCAGAGGCTGACTTTTCCCAGGTCAAGGGGGGTTAGTGTTGTGGCAGTAACCTTCACCTTGAGTGTACATTTCAAGGGACTGTAAAGTAGCATGTCCATTCCAATTGTCATGTAGGAATGCTTTCTAGCCTGTAGTGACCTACTGGAGAGAGGAACTGGGACTATCACCTGCAAGTTGCTCAAACATCTGACACTCAGATTGTTTGTCCCCCGCGAGCAGGATGGGATTTGTGGGCTGCCTGAGGTAAGAATCTAATAATTTGGCCAGCAGCCATGGTGCCAGATAGCAAAAAATTCATTTGCTTTGCAAGCAGTTGATTATTTGCCTTCCATTGCCATGAGTAGTCTCATCATGGCTTTTATGGCTTTCAGAAACTGTAGTTTAGTCTTACCTCTGTTTCTCATTGCACAAATTGGGAATTTCCCAGTTTCCCAATTTCCCAAGTTACCCAATTTAGAAATGTGGTCTGTGTGTCACTTGAGTTAGTGCTCTACATTCAAACTGCAGCAAAAGCTTGGTCAGAGTCACCATGAGACTACTCTCAGTTCTTCCACATGTGCCACCTGTAGGACATTGGAAAGGTCTCTTCTTCTCCTATTTTTTCACTGTCCTTTCAAACCCTTCTACTGTCTTCTGTCTTTGGGCTGTGAAAGGATTTAATCTTTCACTTCTCACTTTCCCAAAGGAGCCTGTAAGGTTAGAGTTCCCTGTAGCCCATTTGAGTGGAATGTGCTGTCTCTCTCTCAGCACCCTGACCTTCCAACAGCTGCTTATAGGAAAATAACTAAAGTCAAGCCAGCTCTACCTACAGCATAAGACGAGTATCATTGTCATGGCAAACATGCTTTTGTTTTACAAGGAGATTCAAAACTTTTTATTCTTGACCCTGGCTGGACATCTTCTGCCTGCAATCCTTGGCTTCTCTCAGAATTGTTCTTTGCTTGAACAAAGAGTAAGGTATTTCCATCCAATTATTTTCCTGCATTAGTAACAGGATTACTAGAAATCCATTTTTTCTTTATAATATCTTTCCACGTTCAAAGCTGAGGAGTCTTTTAGCAAATTAATGTATTTGGCTGCAGTTCTGCACAGGCATATGAGCCCAAGATAAGCTAAAACTGTTTTTTAAAATTGATTTTTTTTTCCTCAGGCAATATTTTTATGTTCCCCCTCTAATCTTTAATTGGAAGTCAGAGTTAGCATATTGATAACTTGGCTCACTCTCCATTTAATTCTGTTTTGAGTGCTGATAAACTAATTACACCATTTTGCATAAGGAAGCACAGGCTGAGGAAGCTGAAGCAATTTGATGCCAAAACACATTGCCCATTAAGATGTATCATGCCAACTGTTACAAGGACATACTTACTGTGGTCCAACCAACCTGCTGACCCAGGTCTGTAAAATACAGTGTAACGATGGAAGAGACGGCAAGGCTTTGGATGCTGATGGAATCCTTCAAAAAGGGCCCATCTGCAATGGCAGAAATGGAAGAGGAGATGACGTGGACAACAGGTACCCTCTTGGGGTCTCAGCATAATGCTGAGCCTGCCCTGCTACTGGTCCAGCTGTAGGTCCAGCTTGGATTCTGATTTACTTTGGTGACTTGGTACTTATCCTCCAGGTTAGCAACTTAGAGCTCTTTCATGAGGGTTATTTCCTTGCCATTTTAACAAAAGCACAATATTGTCGTGACACAGGGCAGCAGTGCGTGACAGCTGTACACCTCTGTCTCTGTTAGCCCAGCCCTTTAGAGACAGGCCGTGCAATCACACAGACAACTCCACAGAACACTTCTTCTGTCCTGCAAGACGAATGGCAAGGGCTGTGTCACATAGCATCTCCCTCACTGACGTGTTTTGCTGAGGTATTCTCATTCTCAGGATGTTTTACAACAGGCAGCACCTGATGATGGATGCAACTTCTTGGGAAAAGGCTCAAAATCCAAGATTTCTTTGCTAGCTGTCTGACCTAGGCAGACCAGGTGTATCTGAGCATTACATTACTGTTTGCAGTATTCTGAGGCGTCTGCTTCCAATCCTAATGGATCCAGAGTGTGCAGACAGACACATGAAATAACAATATTTGGTTTTATGGTTTGTTTTTTTATATAGGTGGTAAGCTGGATATTGGAAAAACCCAACAGCCACTGGCACAGGATGTTGCCATAGCTGCAACACCTCTTTGCTCTTTTCTTATGTATGGTCTCCTTTTCAATATACATTTGTTGACTTTTTACATCAGTGAGGGTGCTAAATTCCATCAGGTGCTGAGTCCTCATTTTCTATGGCTTTGCAATTCTACACATCCACAGACCAAACACCAAACAGCCTCCGGCAGCTTTATCTTCCACTGCCATGTCCACCAAGAACTTGTGGACTGACAGAGAGGCTGCCTCTGACAGCCAGCTGCATCTTCTGGCAAGGCAGTGAGCAAGTACAGAAACAAGTAATGCAGTGAGGGAAGGAAGGGAATGAACAGGCTTAAAACTTCCTTGTCTTCATTATGTGATCATACACAATTCTGGAACATTTCACTCAGTGGCTATGAGAACCATTAGGCTCTTTCATTAATGAGAAAACTAATAAGCTAATAATTGATGTCACTTAATGAGAATGTATTAACAGTTCCCCCAATAACAGGTATAGAGAGAGCACTGCTGTGAGGAGGAGAACCTGCCAGAGGATCAGTGATACATTAGGTGGCTGTGTTCAGCCATAGGAATACTCACTGCGTTCTAGCTGCAGGCCAACACGGGATGGGTACCACTGGGGACCTGTTCCAATCAGAAAGCATGGCTGTTAATTTCATGATAGAAAAGCTGAATTTCTCTTAGGTTTGGGTTTGTTTCTTTTTTTCATCTGATAGCTACAAAAGTGAGACAGAATAAAGAAAACAACTCTCTTCCAGTCTTATCTGTACAAGGAGAATATAAGAGAGCTGGGAGGAGCACACAGTACACACATTAAAGCATAAATCCCTTCTCCCATTTGAGTGTTGGAAGGGCCAATCTCAGTGCTGAACACTCCATCAGCACAGCTTGTGTATGCAACAGTGGGAAATATAAAGAGGATACTGTTTATTACTGTATTTGCCAAAACCCTCTACTAAATGTATCAGTCTTGCCCCTCCTTCTAAAAATATGCCTGTGCTACAGTCTGGTCCAGGACTTTGTGTTTCCCATTTAGGAATGTAAAACCTGACTAGGGATGTGCAGTTTGTATTAGTTCTCAACCACAGATTAATCAGGGAATTAGAGACACAGAAAGTAGAAGCACATGGATAGCTAATACGGGGTGACTTATGACTTCCTTGATGCCCTCAACTTGAGGATGTTTCCAGCAGTAGATTTTTATATGCTCTAGTTTAAAGGTCATTCCAAAACGCACAGTGGTCATTGTTATTGGATTCCCTTTGGTGATTTTGAACAGAGACCTGTCAGGTTGGTAAAACAGGTATGGGTTTCCAGATGCATTTCTTTCCCTTGGTGTCAGAGTGAGCAGGTAATTGCCACCAACACACTGCAGAGGGGATCGTGGCTCTTCAAGCTGTTAACTTGGCCAGCTCTTTAGTTCCTCTGTGCAGAAGGTTGTGCTTCTATAGCTGTGCTGCTGAATGGACAACACAAACACTCCTCCTTTGCATCACAAGGACAAGTAACTTTGCTTAACCCATACACACTCTTTGGTTTTCTGTTGAAGGTTTTTAGGGCTGACCTAGCACATTTCTGGGCTGACCTGAAGCAACGTGGTGAGAACTTCCACAGCCCATGGTGTTGACTGACATTTGGGGGAAGCAAAGATTGTCAGAGAAAAGTGAGGAACTTGATGCACTATTCTACCCCAAGCCATTTCTACCATATTTGTCTTTACTTCCTTTGATACACCTGAGGACAGTTGATAGCCTGAAAGGAGATTTGCTTTGTCTTTTCCATTCAAAAAATTGGTCAGGTTTTTTTTTTCAGACATATCTTACAGCTCTTAGTGATATGTGTTTAAGGTACAAATATTCCCATACCTCTAAATGGAAAAAGCTGTTCACAGTGACTGTGATCAAACATGGAAACATTTGCCCCAAGAAGCTGTGGGATCTCAGTCCCTAGAGGTAGTCAGGCCACATCTGGGATGACCTTGAACACTCTTATAGGACTAAAGTTGGCCTTGCTCTGAGTAGGGAGCTGGATCTGGAGATGAGTTCTAGAGGTTGTTTCTACCTAACTTACTTCAGGATGATGAGGAGAGCTTGTTCACTCCACCAGCTGCCAGATGGAGGGGAAGGGAGCTGTACACGGTGTGCACTGACACTCAGCACACTTTCATTTCAAAAGCACTTGGTCTGACTTTTGTAGGCAAGAACAGGCATTAGATGAACCCATGAACCAGGGCTAATAGCAGGAGGTGAGACATCCATCAAGTAAGTTGCAAACATTTTTTTTCAAGGTACCACAACAATCCATGGCTATTAAAGATAACAAAGGGAAGATAGAGAAGGAGCAGCTGTCTGACTTGTCAGGGAAGATATGATTTGCTCCAGGACAGCAGATATCAATAGTTATTTGGGAGCCTGAAATGCAATGTATTTGTGTTAAATTGGAATCTTCCCCTCAGCTCCCCCCTTCATATTACAGTATGTTTCAATAAAAGTCAATTTACCTGATCCTGTGGCAATGCTCTTTTAGGTATGGCTCATAATCTTCACAAGGGCAAACAGAGGTTGTGCATTTAAGCACGTCATCCCACATTTCCAGTCCTTTAGCCTCAGTACACCATTATGTTCAAACATACTCAAAGATTTAGACAGATGGAAGTGTGCCTTTGCTGCTGCTTGTCTGCAGTGACCTTGTTATTACATCAGTGTGTCTCTGGCTTCCAGGCCGTGCTTGGAAAGCTGTGAATATTCTTCTGGAAGGATCTGGAATTAGCTGTCCCTTCCCTGCTCTTACTGTTGCTGGAGGGCCAACAACAAGTGGAAATGCTAAATGGAGTGGGGAACAAAGTCCAAACACATTTCTATGCTGGTTTGAGTGAAATCACCAAAACTTCCCACTTTCGGTCTTTACTGTCAGCAGATTTTAGCAAGGCTGTTCCCAAGTGTTAGCTGTCCAGGGTCCTGCAGAAACCAGCATTGCTTTCTGGAGAGAAGTGTGACCCCCCCAGGAGTCTGCTCTCCTAGCTTGATAAGGCTCATTTCTGATAGGAAATCTCAGACATTCCTAGGCATCCCTAGGCTCACCACTTGGTAACAGTCAGACAAAGAGATGCTGGCCCCACCTGTCACCACTTATTTGCCTTCCTCCTATGACTATTTTCCACAGGGATCCTCCAAAAATCTCACAAGAACAGCTCTGGATTTCTGTTTGGTAGTGTGGGAAGATAGTCCAATCCAGCCTGCCTATGGCAGAAACACATTTCTCTCATTCCTACAGCAGGAAAGCTTTATTTTCTTTAAATAGTGAAAAGAAGCCAAGCCAAGGGACTAATTATCACTTGTATTAATTCTTGCTACCGCCTGTCAGAATGAGGGGTTGATGGCTCCCCTGGATATCCAGAGGCAGGGCTGTCTGACAGAGCAGCTTTACCTGCCATCAGCAGGAGTTCAGGAGTGCATGTGGAGAGTCCTGCTCCCAGTCAGGGTAAACACACACGCTGGCTAAAGGCAGAGGCACAGCTGCAGCTGTGAGAAGCACTTGAGGCCTCTCTGCACTCCCACACCTGGCAGAGCCTCCCCTTGCTTCCAGCCTAAAGCTGAAGGGTTTCCCTTTTGCAGGGTTGTTTTGGGGGTTTTTTAGCGGTGTTTAATTCCCAGTTTTTTCTTATTAACATTTTCCACTGCTGCCTCCTGCATAAATTAATGGCAATCCAAGACCACGGGTGACAGAAGTTTATCTTGTAACTCCTGTTTACTTTCTGACATTGTGGCGGTGCATCAGAGCTCAGCCACAGCAGGTCACAATCTCTGCATAATCCTTGTGGTTAGCAGAGCTGTTCAGCTCCCTCATGCAGGGTTTACAGGTTTGGATATGTATTTCACACTTGGAACAAAGTTGTAAAAATAACATTTCAGCTCACTTATATCCCAGAGTGGCTTTGACTTGGAAAAGCAGATACAGACTGCCCAGAGAATAAGAGTGGCCATGATGGTTCAAACCACAGGTCTATTTAGCCAATATTACATCCTCTAATGTTTAGTCAATATTGTGGTTCCTCCACATCTATTACATTTCTGAGCATTTACATAAAACAGCTTGGGTTCCTCTCTTCTCAGCATCACTGGACAGCTGCAGAAATGTCTTCCTAGTCTTCCATCTCTATTTGATTATTTCTACTCTGCTGGCTTATCCTTCTCTGGAGAGCTGTTTGCCTTAGACCCCAATATGGTCACCCCACAACTGCAGGCATATTGGCCCCTGAAAGCTTTGCTCATTCCTCAGCTGAAAAGTCATTTACAAACTCCTTGAATTTAAGTTACATCAACATCATTCTTCTTCACTGAGTAACCTGATTGAGCTGAGGATGTCCCTGGCCATGCCAGGGGGCTGGACTAGATGATCTCTCATTATTCATTTCAACTCAAACTATTCTGCAGCTCTGTGAGTTATTCTGTTATGATTCAGGCAAAGTTATGTCTATGTGTACAGGCTTCCATTAGTCTGGAAGTGTAAGCAACTATGACAGGTCTTAAGTCTTTCATCTTACATTTATCTTAAAAAAACCTTAAAAATTAAAAAAAAATAATTAAAATTTTAATTCTATAATGCTTAAGGCATCATAATTTTTCCAAACAGGATGGTACTTGCTTGGAAAGAAACTCAACGTTTAACCTCTTTTAAAAAATGGATATTAGGAAAAATATTTAATTTCATGTGGGTTATTTGTTGTACCTGTCTGCATTTAAAAGAGAAATTAAAATACAAGCAAACTGACAGGACACATGAAAACTGACAGCCACCTTTAATTTCTCATAGCCAGCTATGGAATTACCTATTAATACTGGCTATAAAAAGGAGATGTAGTGCTGTCAAACAACCATACAAATACCAGCTAAAATGACAGCCTCAGTGCCATGCCCAACTGGCAATACCACTGTGCAAAAATGCACAGAAAACCAAGTACCACTGGTCCTGCTGCCCACATGGTTTGTTCTTTTCACTGCTTGTATACTAGAATCCCAGTAGATGAACCAGCTAATCAGACAATCCTAAGAAACAAGGACAATTAAAAAAGCCCCTGTGCAGCTTTAACACTGTCCAAAGGTACTCTATCCATGTGACTCAAACTGACCTTAATGTATGCTCCACCACTTAAATATCACAAAATGTTTTGAAAATTTAACAGCTAAGAATCTAAGTACTTAGTATTTTTCAATAGTTGTGAAATTGAAGTAATCGACCTAATTTTTATTAAGTTTCATAAAGAATCTTCTACAAAAAAAATAGTGTGCTGTCTGCTCTGCAGTAAATTGCCCCATGAAATGCCCATTTGCCACAAAGTATTTATGAAGTTATGTGAGCCTGTATGAGAAAAAAGGTAACATTATGAAGACCTCCCTTGCTGGGGAATTCGGTGTGTTCCTTAGAATGCAGACCTCCAAAAGCTATTCTACTGGGGAGAGAGGAGCCTGAGAAATGCAAAACACAACTGACAGACACAATTTGGAGATAATTAGCAGATTGACTTTCCATCATCAGCTAATTTTATTACCAGTTAAATTGTTTGCTTCTCATTGTATTTCACCACCCATGCATCTCTAATAACAAATAGCCTTAATAATTACAAG